CACCCACCCGCTCGGTATCCCGGCTGCCTCGTTTCTTGGGAAGTAAACCCAAGCACAATATTGCACTTTTGATTTGCGATTGTACGCTTATAATTTTGTTTATACGTTTTTTCATAACCAGCAATGTATATTATATGTCATGAATAAGTGATAATTGTGTTTTAATTATGTTTGATTTTTTGGTTGAATGTGACCTTTAATCATCAAATATTGTTTAGGAGTCTTGTGAGCATTGGTGTGAAGGGGAAATTTATGAAATTTATCATCAAGATGTACTCATCATTATGTGCTTGTGTCAGAACTGATACTGGATTATCATCTTATTTCAACTGTAATGTTGGCACAAGGCACGGATGTATTTTAAGTCCTGAAATTTTCATTATTTTTATAAATAAACTATCACAAATGCTGGAGAATGATGGTGAAAGAGGTATTTTTATTTTTATATCTGCCCACGCCAAGGATGTTTATTCTCTCCTATTTGCTGATGATGTCTCATCTGTATCTGACAGTGCAAAGGAAAATTTATGTTGTAGAAAGGTTTTGTGCAGAGACTGGAATGAAGGTGAACCTGAAAAAGACTAAAATAATGGTATACTGAACAGCAAAAGAAAGTCTGGCTTTTTGTCAAGTTTTTGAATAGAAGACAACCCAAATTATGTCTAAGCATTTATTCTATAGAAAACACTGTCAATGTAACAGCTAAAAGTTGCTGTTGACATTGAATTGCAATAAGTTCAAATTGATCACAGTTCGTCACAGTCCTAAAGTGACAGTCTCTTTAGTAGCGCGTATAGCCACCTTGAGCTTGCACACAGGCCGTGCAACGTGGCCTCATTGAGTTCACTAGAGTCTGAAAGAATGCTGGATGCAAATGGTTCCGCTCAAACACCAATCTCTATTCCAACTGTGCAAGTGTGAGTGGCTGTCTACCTGCAGCAATCCTCCGTCCAATTTCGTCCCAGAATGTTCAATGGAAGCCATATCCGGGGGAAAAAGACGTTAATGTTGTTCTGAGCCAGATAATCCATCGACACCCTTGCTGTGTGAGGGCTGCAAACGTCGCTGGCGTTGTTGACGTGCCAAAATTGGCCCCACATATGGCCTTCGGCAGTGGATTCCAGCAGCCCGAAGACGACGCCTAATTGTATCGCTTGGCAATGCTCCCCTTGACCCAAGAACAAAGGCTGCTGTTACTGTTGCTGCTTGAGTTCGGTTCCTTAGATGAGTGACCCGGATGAACCGATCTTGCGCATGAGTTGTCACTCGTTGCCGTCCGGTACGGGGACGATCAGCAGCAACCCGCTTTGCTGATCAAGTCGTGTAATGGTGGTAAGATGACAGCCCAATTGTCTAGCTGCAGAGGTTGCAGTGCTACCTCCGTGTAACTTTCCAATGGCCATTCCCCTCTGCTCAGTCGTTAGTCTAGGCATCGTTTGTGTGGCGTGTACACCTCCTAGCGTCAATACCTAACTGTTTTTTGACACAAACCTTTATAAAGAATACCTCAGAGTGAAATGCATGCTTTTCATCCATAACCGTCGATGCACGTGCTAAAATTATGGTTTTGCTGCACTGTTGGTGTGTTTGTGCGAATGTTTCGTATGGACGTTGCATGACATCATCTCATCTGGGATCATTACGTCACTTTACCATGAACGTTCCATAAACATGAACGCTTACCTTCATGAGATTTCAGTTTGTCGAAATATGCGTTTCTTTTGCTGTTCAGTATATTTCGCAATGGAGGTCCACTCAGGGATTATGTGAAGTGGTTTTTAAAAGGAACACAAATTGAGGTTGTTAATATGTATAGACACTTAGGTGTTGTGTTTACTCCAAGATTATCATGGGCAAAAGCGAAAACCTGTTTATCGTCTCAAGCGAGGAAGGCAATATTTTCTATCAACAATTATCAAAAACGTTTTGGATATATTAACCATCATGAATTGTTTAAGATATTTGACTCTATGATTGCACCAATACTCTGTTACGGATCTGAAATATGGGGAACAAGCTACTGTAAAATTATTGAAACTGTGCACACCAGATTTTGCAAGTCATTTCTTAAAGTTAGTAAAACTACCAACAACAACATGGTTCTGGTAGAGTGTGGGAGAGCTCCCCTCCAGTATCAATATATGTCAAGAGCAGTCAAGTACTGGCGCAGACTGATACAGCTTCCACGAAACAGACTTCCTTATCAGGCATATCTAATGATGAACACTCTCGATGATAATGGTAAAACAACATGGGCTTCTCATATTAGGCTGATATTATTCCAATATGGATTTGGTTTCTTATGGATATCTCAAGACATAGACTGTATATCCACATTCATGGTAATTTTTAAACAGAGATTCTATGACTGCTTCACTCAAAACGGGCATGCATCACTATTTTCGATACCCAAATGTAAATACTATTCACAATTTAAATAATCTCTAAGCGTCGAACCATATTTAACTAGTGAATTGCTACCAAATCAACGTAAAATCATAACTCAGTTTCGGTGCTGTAATTTCAGACTCGCAGTGGAATGTGGCCATCATACAAACACCCCGTATAATGAACGTCTCTGCCTCTTTGGTCATGCTGCTGGCCTTGATTACATCGAAGATGAACTCCATATTTTATGAATATGTCCAAAATATTCCCAACAAAGATCTGATTGTTTTTCAATACATCTAACTCAACCACCGACAATTGAAACCTTCATCCGATTGTTGTCATCGGATAATATACATATTTTAAAATCATTGAGAAAATATCTTTCACAAGTTCGCCGTAGAAGGAATGAATAACTGTAAAACAAATCAATACTAAACTTAACTTAGCTTTACTCAGTATGTATTTACTTTAGCCAAATGTATGTATTATGGGCTTTGGGCCTAAATTACCGAATAAACCTGTCTGTCTGTCTGTCTGTCTGTCTGTCTGTCTGTCTGTCTGTATATTGACATATTAATTCAAACCATGTTTGTTGATCTATTGATATACACTCTCTTTAGAATCAAATAACACCTTATTTATACCTTAGATTATACTGTAGAAAAACAACAGTTGAAAATCCCTGTAATATTCCTTTTGATACCATTTTAAAATCTGGTGCAAATGTTGATCAAGTAACTCTCATCGATAACCCTTACTGGAAGGATGTATTGAAAGCTTGGAATAAATATTGTAAAAAAAGTCATGTGAACGCAGGTAATATTTATGAAATCCTAGCCCAACCACCATTGTTTAACCATAATTACAAAAACCCAACACACTACAATAAAAACTGGGCAAGTAAAGGCATTCTTACAATTAAGGACCTGTGTAACGAAACTGGTTTTTTATCCTTTGACAAGTTGAAGGAAATATATAGTATTAAAGGCACATACCTTGACTATTTGCATGTTTTGAATAAACTTCCTGAATCTTGGAAATATACAATTAGACACTCTAGAAACATCCCAGTTTTTGATTTACTCATAACTGAGTGTCATTTGACTTTATTGAAATCTTGCAAAGGCTCTAGAATTTTTTATGACGCCTTTATTTCCGATGAAGATTTACCTAAAATGTGTCTTAAATGGCAAGAATCTTTCGCTAATGTTACTTTTGATTGGAATCAGATTTTTACGACATATAGAAATGGTTTGAAAGATGTGAAACTACTTGATTTCCAGTACAAGTTTTTACATGGTATTATCTATACTAAAAATGAACTATTTAAAATGAAACTTGTTGACAATTCTGTTTGCTGTTTTTGTAATGAACTGAATGAGAATATTTGTCATGTATATTGGGAATGTAGAGAAACACAAACATTCTGGAATGAACTTGAAGTTTGGATAAATAATCATATTGAGAATACGACTAAAATAACAAAATATCTTGTTTGGTTTGGAGCTTTAAACACAGACAGATTATTAAACCATATTATCCTAACTGCAAAAAAATATATCCAGTTATGTGGGATTAATCAACACACTCCAAAACTTCAAAAGTTCCTGTTTGTTTTGAAAGAAATTTTCAATGTGGAAAAGCTCATTGCAATTAAAAATAATAGCCTCCAAAGTCATGACACAAAATGGAGATCTATATTCCCAACCTAACAATGGTATTTTTGAACTCTATCTAACAAACTCAAGAATGTGAATTGGTGCTCTAATGATGTACCCTTGGGAACAATAAAAACATTCTAAAAAAAAACAAAACAAGTTTCTGAAATTTAGTAGCTGGGGATGTAAAATATTTAACACTTTCTGGGCTTGACATGACCAAACATATATTGTGTTATATGCCATGACCCACTGCTTGAGAAATGAACACCCAAATATTTTGTAGGAAGACACAAATAGTGTATCATTAAAATAAACATTTTCGTATTTCTTTAATCAACCATCTTTCCTGAAAACCATACGTTTAGTATTACTAATATTGACGGTTAAAGACCACTTGCTGGATTATTCAATCTTTTTTGTAAACCTCGGACAGTGCTATCGAGCAGTAACATACCATCAGCGAAGAGTAACATGAAAAGTCGACACCGAGTTCAATACATCTATCTTCATCAACATCAAGAAATTCAGTAATATCATTAACATACAATGAAAATAGCAGTGGTGATGGTTGGCAACCCTGTTTTACTCCGCTCACACAGTCAAACAGTGTAGCCATATTGCAATGATATACATGATTGAACATTTCTGTACATATTTCTAATTAATCTAAAGATTTTACCTTTCACATTGCCAGTCCAAAGTTTATACATCAAACTTGTTCTATTGATGCAATCAAATGCAGCTTTAAGTTCAACGAAACAACTTAATAGTCTTCCCTTATATAAAGACAAATATTAGTGACCAGTGTATCTAACACAAATATATTGTGCTTGAATGTGTTAATAGAGTTCATAAATTAAAAAGGTTATCAAATTAATGTATCGAAACGCCAAAGTGTTTCGTTTCTAAAGCAATTGTACAATAAAACACCCTAAAGTTTCCACTTACATTGAAATGGCGCCACCCTCCACTGTAGCAGACACCTGTCAGGAACATCTCACGGTGGATCATGCACGTGTCACCAGCCACAGACACGCTGAAAGCCACACATTGGGTTTCCGTAGAACACTGCACACCACACGCGGCAACGCTATATATGCCTTCAATGACGGTAGCATTTGTAGGGGAGATGAACTGAGTGCACTCAGAATACGCTTTACTAGAAATAATCCTCGTTTCATCACCAGCAATAATTTTGAAATGAAGGAACAAGGTGACAATAGCCAACATGTGTAAGGCTGCCATATCTCTTACAGGAATAACTCTGTTAGTCTTCCACTTGCCATATAAACATTAGCGTTGATCGATCAACAATTACGCACTGAAGAAAACATTTGATATGCTTAAATGACAATATGATAACGCCCTCAACCTAAAAGTACCTTAATGGCATTAGTTAGCGTATAATCTGAAAAACACGCTTCTGAGATGAACTGCCAATTACTGGCAAACAAGACTAGTGAAGCTATAAAGCATCCCCGTGCAAAAAGGAATATCAAACGATTATGTTTGGATTTGTTTTATAAAATTGAAAGGTTTCCTTTTATCTCCCGATTCACTGGCTTGATAAATATATCCTCCTTGTATTCAGCTATGTCTGGTATTGTGGAATGCAGGAACCAAAGGTTGGGTCTGCTGGAGCATTGGTGAGGAAGCTGACTGTTGGAAAGTTGAATCCATTAGTCTTGCCATACAGCTGCAGCCTTGTGGAGAGTGTTCTGTCTGAATTTGTATGAACAGGACAAGTTGGTCAAACTGGTATCCTTAATTTCTACTTCAGGTGGGTATATCAGTTGAGGTAGATTGTGTGATTGACCAACCAAATATTAACCGAATTCATAACGACTATAAGCCTGAAGCGTAAGTCAAACTTGCCTTCTGCTGACTTAGCCAATGCGAGCAACAATTATAGTTCATATTTATTACTTCAAAGGATCACTGAAACTGACACTGATCTTCTGCGTAGGATAACAAATAAAAAGGAAATATCCTGTGCATACTAAGAAAGCCAGATTGTCAGTTATCATAAACAATTCAGTAAACGTTCAATCAGTGATGACGTCAGTTCTCGTCATGGGCTGAAGAAATGTTTGGATCTGAGCTTGTGGAATTCGAGCAAACTCATCCTGCAATGTACACCTGGCGAAATGTCTGTAACTGCGACAGAGGTTGAGGGATTGACGTTAAGGTGACCTATCTGCCAAGTTCATCCTATAAATTATCTGTACTGACTCTCCAGCTACCAGGCGTGTTTGAAGGCACTCCTTCTCTATACGGCCATGAATCGTGACATGACATTTGTATCCATGAAGCACACTGCCGTCAATAACATTTTACGAAAATATACTTTGTTTCAAATAAGCGGTATTACTATATACTTTTTCCCCAGATTGTTCTTTCTTTCTCTCTAATCCCGCGAAAATGTGGGTCTACATATCTAACGTATATTTAATGTAGTAGAAAATTACGCAAAGTACTTTATCGAACCTGGAGAGACAAAATGATTATTACTCAAACAGAAGGTTTAATAGACACGCGCCTGATAACTTCGTTGTCAAATTGTGAAAGTGAAAAGAACACTTTCATATATGTAACGCATCTTATATTTGGGATTACACTTTCTCAGTTATCTACAGATTCTAGTATATTTGTTGGTTTGCGTCACAAATAAATGGCAGGAGTCTAGACCGTCCTGGTATGGCAGGAGAGCAGACCGCCGCCCTGGTATGGCGGGAGTTCAGACCGCCGTGGTGTTATGGCATGGGTGCAGACCGCCGCCGTGCTATGGCAGGAGCGCAGACCGCCGCCGTGCTATGGCGGGAATGCAGACCGCGGCCGTGGTATGGCAAGAGAGAGTGAGTCTAGTTTTACGCCGCTTTTAGCAATATTCCAGCAATATCACGGAAGGGAGTGAGTGAGTGAGTTAAGAATTTAAGTCACATCGGCAGTATTTCAGCCATATCGTGACTGCATCAAGTTATAAATTAATAACAATTACAGGGAAAGTATAAAAACCTGTCAACGAAGGACAGTAAACAACTAGACTATCACAGATACAAACTTAAAACTAGTAATTAAATCTAAACTATATTAACTATACATGAATATACAACATAAAAACAGGCTATAGATTGCCAATAACTGTAGGTAGATCACCATACTAGGGACATCACGGCGGGGAATAGGGCTTCACACATTGTACCCATGTGGGGAATCGAACCTGATTCTTAGGCGTGACATGCGAACGCTTTTACCACTAGGCTACCCCACCGACCCTGGTAGGGCAGGAGTGCAGCCCGCCGGGATAGGGCAGGAGTGCAGACCGCCGTGGTAGTGCAGGAATGCCTCATGCTGTGTCATTACAACAGTTCCATTGTGTTGCGGTGTGTCCAAGGTTACCATAACAAATTGCTCAGGGTTTCGATTTATGTCATAACTGATCAATGTGATGAAACCAAGACACTAAGCACATTCCATCTACTGGCACCATTGATTTGGTTATGTGTGTGTCAATATACATCAGCTCGTATTTGGTCAGCCATTATAAATGTATCGCAATCAATGAGTTTTTACTTGGATTAACTGGCTTACCAACAACACCGCAACTCTCGATGTATGTGTAAATTATTAACGCAAAAATAGTATGTAACTTCACTGTTAACAAGATCCCAACGTAGTGTACTGAGTAAGCTTCGTTGTGGCACTTTGCCGCTTGAGATAGAACTAGGCAGGTATACCCGCCCGAAAACGCCTTGAGATAGAACTAGGCAGGTATACCCGCCCGAAACGCCTTGAGATAGAACTAGGCAGGTATACCCGCCCGAAAACACCTTGAGATAGAACTAGGCAGGTATACCCGCCCGAAAACACCTTGAGATAGAACTAGGCAGGTATACCCGCCCGAAACGCCTTGAGATAGAACTAGGCAGGTATACCCGCCCGAAAACGCCTTTAGAAGATAGGATTTGTAAATTTTAGTGCAGCAAATCTGTTGAAGATGAGGTACACTTTCTCGCGGAGTGCGACTTTTATTCAGATATCAGATATAATTTATGGCAGAATAGCTCCCCTATTAATCCTCTATTTGCAGAAATGTCTCCTAAAGCTCAATCTATATTCTTATTACGTAATGAAAGATTTGTGAAGCCTAATAACACAAATGCACAATAGACGAAAACACGCGCTTTAGTCCTGAACAATGATTATCAGTGTGTATATTAATATTTTAATGTTTTAGTCTTGTATTAATACGTTCCACATTTCCATGTGGATTTTAAGTAGTTATCGTGTCTCACAGGCCGTAGGGCCGGGTGGTCTACATTTTTTATTGTGAATTTGTATGTGATTTTAACATGTTAATTGCATACCACGGCACACGTTAATAAACTATTTTTCTTTTTCCTGTTCTTCTTCTGTAAAAACTGCATCTCATTTCAGCTCGTGCCCCTTTGTCTCCATAAAGCGCTCTTAACAAATATCTTTTAACTTACACTATTCACCAAACCATAACATTGACTTCGATAGGACCCTTTGATTACGAAAGGGAATGTCAGCCGGCTGTTGTACAATCGATCAAGGGGTCATTTATAAGTTTTACTATATTCCAAAGGATGAAGAACTGGATTATTGCAATTCGTCGTGCTGACTGGACTCCATCACAATGTTCTCGCATGTGCAACAAGTATTATTTCTGATAGGTTTTATTTTGAGTGACACATGTACTTGTTGATGGTTCAATTCGTTAACGAACAATAGTAAAACAATGTAACCGTGCAGAAGAATAAATTAGTCAGTCGATCAGTTCAAATGAAGACGTTGACAAGTAGTTGAAAAAGTGAAATAAGTGAAGTTGAAATTATTGATCAGAGAGAGATGTTAAAACAATGGACTTGGCACTACCGCACGTTTAGTTAGTTGAACTCCTGCCAATTATGTTTTGATAAAAATAACCTGTTAGAAATATCGAAGTTATATTGACTTTTTCTACAATGTATATTTTTAAAGTTAGCGCATTTACTCATTTTACAGATTTTCGGTCGATTACGAAACATTTGTAGTTTTATCTCTGATCACATGAACAACTATAAAACATCTCATTAATTGTTTGGGGACAACTTCTCTGTAAAAACCAGCATCCGAGTATTTACAATGTCAGCGTAAACCAATCTCATTATAGCGAGAGTAAACACTGCTGTTATACACAGCTGAAAACATACACTAGATTTAAGAATCCGCTTCTGTGATTATCTAAATAAAACTGGAAAAAGAGCTTTAGGACAAATAACTTTGATTAACATTAATTTGGTGGCAGGTTAAGGTAAATATTTTGGTATTTGAGAATCTTGTACGTATATTTGAAATATTGAATTATATATTTTAATTGTTGCTTGCTTCACCAACAAAAAACATCAAATGATGTGGATTGTATTCCATTTTTTTTCCTTCACGAAAGAAAATAGGGTCACTGCATCCAAGATGGTTGATCGAGAAAAGCGACTTTAGGAAAGACATGAATGTCAATAGTGACCAAGCTGCAACTGCCTTACAGTCTCTTTCTGGTGTAATTAAAGACATAGCATCTCACAAAATTCTGCTTAACCTAAAGAATAGTGAATCACAAAAATATAGTCAGTCCACATCACGTAAAATGGCATACTGAATTTTGTTTTTTTTATTCCATTATAAGTCTCAGATGAAATACATATGATATAAAAGACAATATATCGCCTTGGGCGATCAGAAGTGGTGCCAGTTTGTTGTAGACGACCTCGCAAGTCATACACAGTACGACGGCTGCATCCGATTGCTCTTGCGACGTCAATAACTGATCTCCCGCTTGCAACATGCCAACGGCACGTTCACGTTGCACATTTGACAATCGTGGCATTTCAAGTACCGTTAGAACTGTGGTTTAAAAGTGTTTTAATTCTTGAGGCCAATGCAAATACGTGCATATGAAGAAAACTTCGATGCGAAGATCACGTGATCGACTGCACGTGCAAAACCTGATTTGGCACTAACATCATTTGCACGACGAATGGATGGGTTTGAGTGGGTTTTGCTAACGTTTTTCTAGAGTCGAAAGATAGGGATCCCATTTCGGATACATAGATGTATCATCAGAGAAAAAGTATTCATTATTTTTCAAATTATATTTTGTGAAGTTTCTTTTTTGACTCAGTATATAACATCAATGGTGTTTTGTAAGCTTATAACAAATATATAGATACATAAGATATCATTAACGTTTCTGTAGAGGGCATATAACATT